GTTGGCAATCTAGCTTCTGTTCTTCTGGCGGGGGGGGGGGGGGTCACGGGGAAACTACTCCGGGGGGGGGGGGGCTAGTAGTGTAGTGAGCCAGAAGAGTCTCTAAGATGTCAGTCAGGCCTTCAGCGGTCCCAGGAGACGATCAGATGACGCGGTGCAGCGGCAGACGTGAGCACCAGCAACGTAGGCTTGAAGAGGCATCTCACTCGCATGCTTGTAGTTAGGTGCTCTATGGCCGTCTCCAGGTAGTCCCTCCACTCCCGATATGTTTTGTTGCCCTCGAGAAAAACTGCCGCAAAACGGCGACAGTGAGGTAACCCACTCTCGACTAGTCCACCTGGCCACGTAGCTGTAGCGCTACAAGGGACCTTCCAATCTGAACGCACCTTGGCTCTCGACAGGGCTATGTCCATTGAAGAGTCACGGATTAATTCCACTGCCGTCAGGTTTAGTCAGCAGCGAAAGGCGCCATTACTTTCGGAAGTCCACAGGACTGAAATACCGGCCGGGTGAGCGGGTTTCAAAGCTCAGCAAGACTGACTGGAAACAGACTCTGCCCTGAGGTTTCAGACACAGGTGGTGTTCGGGCCAAAGGTCGACTGGCCGCCTGACAGTCGGACGTCCTTCCGTCTACGCTTGCGTGTCTCGAAATAACTCCCAATGCTCTCGGGACGCAGCTCACCCATCCCACAGCCGACGTACACTTGCATTAGACTGCATGTCTAATCTAATCCAACGGCCCTGAGCGCCAGACCAATCTCACACTTCACTCACACGGGCATGATGCATACTCCGATGAGTGTCCTGAGCTGTGCAGGGACACCGATGAGGGGATCTGTCGTGGACGTGACTACGAGCGCAGCGTCTGGCGGTGGCATCACCAGCAGGACAAACGGGAAGGCCTGGAACAGCGGCAAGGCCTAAGGGCATGCCACTTCATTATCGCCGTGCAGTTGCGTGTCAAGTGGTTAATGGCAACAAGTCACACCAGGCGCTGAGCGACTACCTTGAGCCAGCCGAGAGCAGTCGACAGGGAGGACATCGGCAGGCTCCTTGCAGGCGGGGCGGCGCACGAAAATAGCCCAGGAACTATTGTAACAAGGGGCATGGTATTGGGCGTCTACGGTTTTGCACTGTTTTGCCTGCACCGAGCTGCGTTGGTTTAGCTGTTTTTCGGCTCATACTGTTTCCTAGAAAGCAGGCAGTCTCGCTTCAAATCAAAGTCACTATAATGGGACTTCAACAACTTTTGGAGAATCGTGATATCAGCCCGCGAAGGCTTTCTTGTTTCACTTGTATCTGCTCCTTGATATATAGCAACAGTAACAGGATCTACGAGCCAAGATATCACGTCCTGGAGAGTTGAGTACCACTCGTACCAAGCGACGAGTTACCAAACTCGTCGCTTTGCAGCGACGAGCTTCTGAACAGCCACTATAGTACATGCGGTAGCATTTGTCTATGCATGCATTGTGGTCTCCTATGGACATGCGTCGTACACATAGCATATAATTCCATATCGTAATTTTTATAACGTGTGCAGCTGCTGCAAGTCGCATCCTTATAATGAGTACGAAACGACAACAAACGGCATGCATCGATCAATAGAGGGGATTCGGGTGACTTATCATCAGGTCTGACCTTTTACCTTCGGTTTGGCATTGACGTCGACCCCACAAATTAAGAATACTTGTAAAAATTGGCTCCCTGCCACAGAAAATTTATACGTGACTGCATAACATGACACGACCACCCAAGTCGTCGAGATACTACTTTGAATCTGGACCAATATTCAAGATGGCAGCAGCTGCCATCTTAAATTCTGGGAAATATGCAAAGTTGCGCAAGTAGCATCCAAGCTAATTTGCCTCTCTTAACTATATAAAGCCAGCTATATGGAAAACTTCTGTCAAAAGTTCGCGATAGTTTGCATCGTATGATTTCATTTAAAAAGCAGAAGGATGGCAACTTGACTGTACGTATCCATCCAAGTGAAAAGCGTCTTCTTAAGTGCATGCATGTATGCATGCATGTATGTAGCACATGTTTACAATATTATAGTGTTATGCATGCAGCTCTGTGCGTGGTGCCCTTGCACTAAGGATGAGAAGGCAGCAAGCGCTACATAGCGATCAATAGAGAAGATATTGGTGATTAATGATCAAGCTTGACATTTGGTTTTCGATTTGACCTTGGCTTTGGCCCAGTACACCAAAAATAACTCAGAAATGGACTCCCTGATATAGATAATTATCAAAGCCGGTGTCAAACTGTCCCTCCATGTCATCAAGAGAAGACTTGAAACTGGACCAACATTGAAGATGGCGGTGGCCGCCATCTTGAATTTTGAAGAATGTTTAAAGTTGCTTAAGTAGCTAATTAAGCTAATTAAGATTTCCTGGCTACACAGAACAAATATCTGTAAAAAGCTTGGGGCTGTCGACGTTACAGGAAGCAAGTTTGAGGATGGTAACTCGACTAATTTCCTTTTTAAGTGTATCACGAGCGCCAAAATACGTACGCAGCTTTGTGGTAGTCATGCCAGCAAAACACGGAACTTAAAGATTTCACAAGAGCAATATTCGTGCCAGACTTATCTTTGAAATGCATAAAACGATTTTTAAAGAGTGATGGGACACGATGATGGGATCGGCTGGTAACACGGTGATGGGATCCGCTGGTCAGTCAAGAGACTCTTAGAGGAATTTATCAGGTATTGGCTCCCTTCGTGAGGCAGGAGGCCTCCTGACCCGGGATTCTCCCGACCCGGGACCCGGGGAGGCCTTCTTCTGGCCCTGGATCAACACAAGGGCACTCGGACTCGGATATCGGCGCTTAGGATGTCCGCTCTTGTCACACTTAGAAAAACGAACTCTCAAAATCAAAACTCAAGGTCACAAAAAGCACAGTGCAATGAAAAAGTTGTTTAAGTAAGAAACGCACCACAAGCCATACCATGTTGATGTTTGTGATGCCCGCTTTCGTCACACTTCAAGAACAGCAATTTTCAAGGTAAATGTCACAACCACAAAAAAGCGCCATCCGGGCATTTATTCGTTTTTTTTATTAGATATCACAAGGAAGGTATCGCGTCGGTGCTCAGGAAATCCACTTAACGAGACGCGGTATCAAGAAGCAGTACTGGGGCATATTTGTTCGCTAAGCAAATGCAAGAAAAGTTGAGTTATATATATATATATATATATATATATATATATATATATATATATATATATGATATAAACGAAATCGAGAAATCAAAGTATTTATTACATTAACGAATAAATGCCAGTTTGCTGATCATGAGAGACTTTCACTCATGAACACTTACTCACAAGTCACATTTGATCTTGAGAAGAAGTGTTTCAGTGTAACAAAAGTAGGCATTAACGACATCATTACGCCACATCTTTCGTTGTATTTCTTATGTAAACAAATAAGTGATAGGCATCGTGTTTTTCTTAAACTTGTTCTTTGACCTTCAGAATTCGTTTCTCAAAATTGACGAACGCTAGCATCCGGAAGAACGATGTGGCACCATGTTGCGGCATCCATTAAGTAAACGATTTAAAGCGGCGAGATCACGTTTTTGCGACACCGATCTTTGACCTTGAGAGTTTTTGCCAGCGTAATGAAAGCAGAGATGACACGCATCAACATGACACGACTTGTGTGGTATTTATAAAGTAAACGAATAATTGTCAGGGAACCGCGTTTCAGTGACCTTGAACTTTGAGCATGAGTCAGTTTTTGATTGCGTTAAAAGCAGACACCACAAACACCAATGTGATACCCATCTTATTGCGTTCCTTGATTAAAGGAATAAATTTTAAGTTGCCGCTTTTAGGTGACTTTGACCTTTAACCTTGTTTGTCTTTGTTTAAGGAAAGAAGACATCACAAGCATTATTATCACACAGATTTTGTTTCATTCGTTTAATCAACGAATAAAGGTGAGGGTACTAAGTGTTGTGTGGCCTTCCCTTCAACTTTGAGGGTAAGTTCTTGCAGCTGTAACGAAAGCGGACATCATGAACATCACAGTGATGCCTTTATGTTACAGTGATGTTAGGTGTGATGTTACGGTGTGTTTGTGATGCTACAGTGATATTTAGCGATGTCACAGTGATGTTATATTTTTGGCAAAGGAATAAGTGTTAGGGTACCGCGTTTTGGGTCACCTTGATCTTTAGCCTTGAAATTTACTTTGTGGAGACGTGTCGAGAGAGAGCATCACGATTGTCAATACGGCACCAGTATTGATAGTCTGATTGATATTGAAATAATTAGAATAAAAAAGAATTGATAATGAAAGATTTTGTGTTGCACTTTTCGTGAGCAAAGAGCGAAGGGTGTTCAATTCGATGTGACCTCGATCGTTGACCTTGAATGTGAGGTTTTCTAGATGTGAGGAAAGTGAACATCGCAAGATTCAATGTAACCGTTTTTTGAATTTCTTCGATAAACGAGAGAACGCCAGGTTACCAAGTTACGGCATTTCATTGACCTGTAGAGGTAAGACTAAATGACTTAGAGAAGAGAAAATGACAGATTCGTGAATAGTTTAATGGGTTTGAGCTTGGAAGACTGCTGTAAAAAATCTGAACCCGACACCGAATTTGAACTTCAATACGTCGCTAACCTGACGGACATTGTATATTGCGGGTGCAACCTTATCACTGCTTGAGAAATGAGCCCTTCAGGCGGATGTTGACACCCAGTAAACGTTTTAACGTCATCGAATTCCGGCTCACTGTCGGGCACTGGTGGTGCCTGACCTGAAGGGTGTCTCTCCTTGACTCAGGGGGCCACAGCCGGCGCAGAGCCCTCTGGCTTGCATTTAAGGGCCCGGCCCTGCGGGCAAGGCTCCTCAATACGACCACCAGCCAGCCCTTCGGGCCCTCGGTTCGGTCCCTCTTTGCCAGTCCCGAGGGGCTGAAGGTCCCCTCGGAAGACCCGACGCCACTGCTTGTAAACGCACTAGGAGGTGAAACACAGCACGTCGCTTCAAGTCCAGCCGTTTTGTATTTGTCAATGTCGGACTTCGCATTGTCTCGATCAGACCTGTCGCATTTCAATGGCACAACTTCGATCAAACTGTCGGCACTGATTCGCCGAGCTCCTACGCCTCTTCGATGAAGCCGCCTCGGGCCACGCGGTGCGCCATGCACAGGATCATCAGCTGCAGAGTCAGGAACAACGCCAGACCGACCGTGATCTCCACCACCAGCGCGTAGTGGCCCTCCACTGAAGCCCACAGCACATGGTAGCAGCCGCGCCTGCCAATGGAAAAGAGGTTAGGCCGGCGCTCACCTCAGGCATGGCACAAACGATGCCCAGTTATTCACGGTTGTATTCATTAGCTTCTTAGCCCCAGCCCGGAGCCGTCACGCACCTGATCGCTGATTCTAACGTCATCGTTGCACCTACCCTGAGGGGCCCAATTACGCGTTCCGAGGAACCAATGGGCTGTTTCGGGGCACCATCCATCGTCTTTAAGATCCCTACCTCGTCTGTAGCATCTGCTGGTGTGCATCTCCGTTCTATCAGCAAGGAACGGCAGCATTAAGTCGCAACTTCTAATCTAATAAAGGATTAATCTAGAGTCGTGGTTAGATAGATTTCTGGAGTAAACACGCGCTCGGGTAGGGTGTCAGTTCAGCTCCCAGAGGATTTTCGAAAATCGTTCAGAACAGCGCGGAGTAGTCGCGCCCAACTGCGTATAGCTGTATACAATTTAATACCTGATCTTTGATATAAAAGTAGATATAGCTCCTTTTGGTTGCAAACCTAGAGCCGGTTAAAGTCAGGCCATGGCTGTCAGGGAATGTAGCGGCTATGGACACATTTTCAGGCGATCAGACAATTTAAATTAGGATTGCAATTAATTATGTTCACTTTGGGTTAGGTATGGAGGTCAGATCAAAGTAAAAGCTAAGTCACTTCATTGCTGGACAACGTACTTGATGGAGAAGTTTTGGACGCTCAGTTAGAATTCCCTGATACCACGGATGTCAAAAGATTACTTTTCCGACTTCATGAACGTCAGGTAAGGTCACTGACCTAAAAGGACCTTGATCAACCGTTTCCTTTGAGGAGCATGCAGCGTACTTGGCGTACTTGGTGCCAATTATGCATCCAAATATCCATGTAATCCTGATGGTTTCTGTTCGTTTTTTCCCTTTGAAACTCAAATCAGATCCCGGACCTAATATAAACATCAGGGCTCCTTTGCTTACAAGAGACGATTATGTCAAAGAAGGTTGCGAGGGGAAATCTGAGGGCATTTTGGGCACTGATCTGAATTTTGACCTGGTTTGACCCGAAAATTTGACCTTGTTCGACCGGAAGGCTACGACCTAGGCACCTCAAATTTTGACCAAATAAGGCAATATATGGTGTTACCTACTCCTGCTAGTTTGGTGTCCTCTTGGTTTTGACATAAAAGATTGACCGGCCCCGTACGTTTCGCATTCAGTCGGCCACCTGGGCGCGTGTAGCATCAACATTAAGCAGTGCTGGTTGTGCAGGTCATGAACCCAGCAGTGCTGGTTGAGTAGGCCATGACTTCATCATTCGATTGTGAAAATCCAAGTCGACGGCAAAATTTTTCAGCGAACGCTTACCGTGCACAATGCTTGGCGCCGCCCATCCTACCACCTGATGACACCAAACCTTCAGCGCGGCTGCTGCCACCGGCCCGAAGGCCGTTCCAGGTGGGAAAAAACAGCGAGCGAATAACTAGAACTAACCCCGCCACTAATGAGTGAGTGGGAAGGCAAGTGATCCAACCTACTGAGCTACCTACTACCTTTTCGTGTATCAGAGGAAAGCTCTCAGGGTGGACGTCTGGCGGGTAATTTCTCCATCCCCATGCACATCTGATCGCCACCACTAACCGCAAGCGACACTCACATTTTGACGTGACGGATGTCCCAGGTCTCGGGTCCACCACTCAGGTTGGTGCGGTTGAAGAGCTCGGACAGCGGCGCCATCGTGGTGATATTGGCCAGAAGCGCATTGGTGCTGTTCGCCGTCACGTTGCCCATGCCGCTGCCGGTGACGTTCTGCAGACGGTGGCGGGCCCCCTTGGTGAGCGCGTGAAGGGCGACCGTCGGCCGCCCCAATTCGCTGGAGGCCGGCGTCACGGCCAGCGAGGCGTTCACCGCGGCCGTCACGTTTTCGGCAGCGCTGGCGTTCGTGGCGACGGTGGCGATGATGGCCGGGGTCGCGCCGGCGGGGCCGCTGAGCCGGCCGCACTGGAACCCGGCCGAGGAGTGGCAGCAGGATGGAGGCAGCTGGATGCCGGCCGCGTGGTAGTCGTGCGGACCGTCGACACCGCAGCAAGTGTACTTGGCCTGGATCTCGTCCAGAAATCCCACCAAGTCGTAGGGGTGGTAGCGAATCTTCGCGGTGAAGAAGCTGTGCATGCGCCGCTTGAAGTTGGCGCGCCCGAACAGGGACCAGAAGAAGACGATCATTTGCACCATCAGTAGGAATGCTACGCATGTGACGTACACCAGGAGGAGCCTATAGGAATTGCAGGCTGCTCCAAATACGCCCATGATGGAGATGAATGTTGTTATTATTCCTGAAATAAGAAGTGGTCGAAGGATGCTATAACAAAATTGGCAAGAATCAGGCTTTCCTGCAGCCACGATGGATGTTATAACCATAGCGAATCCAATGATAAAAAATAAAACATTTATCAGCATAAGAAAGATTCTGGCGCAGAGGAATGGCTCTTTGTAGTCTTCCTTCTCTGCCGGAGGTCGTGGATACGGTACGCGGTAGCTCTGGGAGCTTCCACTGCTTCGTTGTAAGCGGTCTGTGACATCGAACGCCCATGACGGCTTGTTACTGCTCCCGTAGGCAGAAGGGTAGACCATTTTTATTGGTTATAGTCAATCATGGATTTACATGTCTGTCGTTAAATGCTATCGGGAAATGTTCCTCTCAATTCAAAGAAAGGCATCGTTGGAACTGGTACAACTTTGCCCTCAGACCGAACAAAACGAACGAAATCAAACAAAATTCAATGCAAGGATGAATAGAAAACAAAAATTTAGCTCCCGTTCTGGGAGCGCAAAAGGCAGTGCGGTGAAATCAGTGTTGAAAATAAAACGGTGCTCACGTGAAGAGCTTAAGTCTTCCGCTTCTCTCTTAGATGATCTGTCAGAAAATAAAATAAAGAATTTGTCACGCATTGCTCTCATTATTACATACGCATACGCGCAGCACGCACGCACGCTCGCGCGCACGCATGCTTGCTTACACCCATGTACGCACGTACACACGCCCTCACGACGCACAGAGATAGAAAGATAGACATAAAGACACTAGGCCAACACAGAGCCGCAAGAGCCCATCGAGGGTAGCCTACCTCAGAGCTGCAAGATTAGCATATTCCACATTCATCCTCAACACTAATCTTACCACCTGACTTGCCTGCATTTAGCTATAAGTGAGATCCTTAGATCGACTGAACTTGTACAAACGGTTTTTAAATGTTGCAAGGGGGACATCCTACAGTTTGGTTTGAAAGTCCATTCCAACTATTCACTACTCTCTGACTAAGTGAAAGCTGTCTTACACTTATCATGATTAAATGACATATGCCACAGAGAAGCCCAGTTCACTAGCTTTTCTAAGTCAGGCTTCACATGATCGGCATTTTTCGACGCCCCCATCAACTAAATATCGTCAGAAAATGTAAACACCTTATTCCTCCCTAATCCTGTCCCAACATCATTCACAAAAACAACAAAGAGCAACGGGCCATACACTGACCTATGTGGAACATCACTCTCTACTGGCTCTCAGTAAGCCTCCCGTAGAACACGCCTCTAATACATGTTGTACATTTTATATAGGTTTTTGCGTTAAGTCCCTCTTGATGGTGTGATGTTCCCAGCATATTTGCCCACCTCCTTTCTGAACCTCATATAAAGCACATTTTTGCTTTACACTCTTTCCAAGTCAACAATTTTACATCGTTAATTGAGTGGCCCAGTGAATAAAAGAAGAAGGCTACGGGGTAGTCCACTGATGCTACTTCAGTTCATCAATCCTTGTGGATGATAAATATTTTTCCGAGCGGATATATAAAGTCAACGCTGTTCCTTTCCGACATGATATATACATTAGCACACAGTACAGTGATCAGCAAACGTTGCGTTTTTTTTTTTGCTTTACATCTGATCGTTCCTGAAAAATTCGCCGACAGATGATGAGTTTTCTCCACACTCCTGTCTGTTTCTCCGCTGGTCGTTTATGGGCTTCCTTGTCTTTGCGTGTACCAACTGATCCTTCAGGCTTGCTTGCCCCTCTTCGGTGAATAACAGGGGTTGGCTGGTCGATGTTTTTTTCGCGTGTTGAAAGTGGTTGTTTTTAAGTGTTAATATGTTGTCTATCTTAAAGCATTTGTCTCATGTTAGGCAGATGGCTAACGTGGGTTACAGCACGCGTGACGTGGGTTAACATTTTGATTTTTTTTTTTTTGCTCTGTTCCTTACTGGTAATACGTTGTTCACGCTCAATTTGTCGACCGTTCCAGCGGTGTAGTTAGTTTATCGGGATACCCCGTTTTTAGGTTTAGCTTTCAGATCTCTCCTAAGCCGGATATAATAAACTTGGCCGATACCGATTACCTTCAACTGCATAGCTAATCCTAGAAGCACAGTAATTTTGGCGTGGTAAGGATGGTGTGGTGAAAAATAAGGGTAGGTTTTGCCGCCGGATGATTTTAAGGACAAATCAGTTTGGACATGGCCGTCTTGTAGTATTAAAATCTCGTCAAAAAATTGCATCTCAGTTTTGGAATAGCAAAGATCAACTTGCATTTTGGGTGCATGTTGTTTGCAGCACTGTGATACTCTGGCCATGCAATCATACACTATAAATGCCATCAGTATACCTAAAGTAAACTAACTCTGTGAGGTCCAGTTCCTGATCGATTTCTGATTGCTGCGTCTCCAAATACGTGCACGCATAACTCTTCCCCGATTTTGAGCCTTTTGCTGTGCTTTTGTGGTCAGTTTCCTGTGGTGGGTTGGTGCGCACGAGGGCGACAGCCGTCCACGTTCTGCGTCGCCGGCTGCCGCTATCACGTCTCCTCACGAGACCAAATTATGATTGAGGAGCCGGATGTACTAGCCGGATTATGTTAAGTACGAGTGCGACCCGGATGATGCGAAGCGCGCGTTTCTTCATGTAATGACTCCGGTACACCCAACAACAACAAACACATGTGAGCTTCAGTGCTAGGAAGAAGTGGTTGGCCGGTTGGCCGGGGCATTGGCGGGGCAGTAGGCCCGGTCAGGCATTATAAGCAGCTGTCTCCCCGTAGCTAGTTGTGCGCCCTTTACTGCGCTTTCCCACCTCCGCCGTTTAGCTGGTGATGATATTCAAGCAGGGTAAAACGGAGCTAGACGCATTGCCTAAAATTGACCGTCCTGAACCCCCACAAACGCATTCCCAAATTGACAGGAATTCCCCGAAAGCGGCCAATTGCATTGGCAAGCGCCCGCTGGATATCAACCCTGGGAGCCTCCTAGACCCGATCCACACAGACTTCATACATTCGGCGCCTCACCACATTTCTACAAGCAGACATATCCGCTGGCGCCCACGGCACCCCACTCATTCTTGACTCGTACACGGATAGGGCCCTTGCTCCCTCCCCCCGTTCCAGTGCCTTGCATTATAGCTGTCACATCTGCGCGAGTCCTCGTTGAGCTAAGTTTAGTTTCCTTCAATGCGTTTCATCCATCCAATGAAACCACTCTTAAGCCCTATTTAAAACATATGGGGTCAGTTTGTTATCAGCCTGGCATTTACGCGGCTGCTGGGATGGTCTCACGTGTATCGCAGCTAAACGACGACTCGCTTCCTCGTCTGAGTTCCAGGCTGACGGTTCCCTACTTCGACGGCGCTCGCTCGCGTCTCGTCTACGATGGGGAGGTCCACCGTTCCTTCAGTCACGCCCGTCGCTCGCAGCTTCCCACTACCGTGCAGATGCCCTCGGTGGCGTCCCATCCAAAACGGAGACGTCGCCTCCGGAGCTTCTGCGCCCTCGCATCCTGCCTGCCGGACTGAGCTTTGCAAGTACCGACCCACGGCGCGTCCCTCGGAGGCCTAGGTAGACAGCGCACCTGATGGGACGATGGACCCCATCAGGCGACAGCGAACGCCCGATATGACCTGCAGTTACACCTTGCGGTCTGTACGGCCGGTGCACTCTGTAGACTCGGTCTGACCGGCCTGTCCGATGACTTGGCCTCCTGTCACTTTTCCTGTAAGCGTCGACAGCAGGATCTCTATCCGCGTCGAACATCCCGCCACCAACGGTTTATAAGGTCCACATCAGGAGAGAACGGGCTGTTTCCCCATCTTTCCGCAGGCGTGGTACATTAACGGCAAGGTCTAGTAACCGCAGCGCATATCCCTGTATTCCAGGCGGTTTAAACTGGTCCCCGGCCATGGAAATGGCCCACGCCTTCCCATGCCGCCATGGGAGGCGTGGTCAAGGTCAAGTGAGGCTCAAGGTCAAGTCAGGTTAAATTAGGGATGAACGGAAAGAGTCTATCGTCGACCATCACTCCATCGAGTCCAGTCTTGATGGGGACAGGGTGATCGAAATGTTCAGGAGGAGGCTATGAATAAAAGAAAACGGTTATGGTAACAGCCAGTGGTTTGCAGAACACATTTAAGTCACAGCAAGGCACAGTGAGTGCAGTTACACGGACGTCTCCGGACAGCGGGTGGGCGACGTGAGCGGAAGCGACAGTCCTCTCAAACTCTTCCTCGATAACTCAGATTTTCCATTTGAACTAGCGACGTAAGCGGGATTCCTCCATCAGGCGCAATGTCTAGATTCACTAAAAGTGTCTATGTTAGCAGTATCTGTTATGGTTTTATCCACCCCCGGCTCGGATGCTTTTAAACAGACTCTGAGGACAAACTTTTCTTTTAATCGAATGGGGCCCCATGTCGGTCAGTGCAGCGCTTTGGTTTCACCCAGTGCTTCCAGTGCTCACAACTCTCGGCACTACTTTTGCCGAACGAGAACGTTTTGCGTATACTCGAATGTGCCTGTGGTTGGCACGTTGGTGGTGGCACGCTTTCCCGGTTGGCATGTTGGTTTCCAGATCCTCTCCGAATTCAACGAATTGGAGGATGTCATAGAGGCGGAAAGGAACATTATGGGTTCAAATCCAGCGTCCCGCCAACGTCCGAACGCCATAATGAAACTCTCCCTCACCCCGTTGGTATTGACAGGGGTGTCCCTGACGAGGAATGCTGACTGGGCCAAGGCTGCCTCTTGCTCCGCAATTTGTTCCAGAAAAGTCTTCCGCGGCTGACACCGAACACATACTCAACCTAGCCTCAGCTGGGACAATAGCAGCACCGCTTGCCCAGTAAGCAGTCTTGCGCTCGGTGGCAGGCAGACCCCGCGTTGGCCCCAATTTATTGCTGGCGATTAACAGTTCTTAGCCGATTGATTAAGAAAACAAAGTGTTAGACCACGCCAGTGGAGATGCAGGTTTCCTATCCCGGCGGGGTATGCCGCTCACGTTCACTTTCCGCGCAGAAGTATCATCTCCGATGATTCGGGTGGGTCCTCCTCGTGCTTCTCCTCCCGTTCAATGGAACGCCAATTCGTGGGCGGGCGGAGACGGAGTCGTCACATCACCGCGCACAAGTTTGCTCCGACCCCGTCGAGCTCCGTTGCCGCGGACTCTGCGTTCAAACGGCTGGACTCGGCCGAATATCGTGTTTGCTGTCAGGTTCACGTTTGCGTCAGCAAGTCCCGCGCATTCGTTACACGGAGTTTATCTGGTAGCCCTCCAGGCAACTACTCCAGGTAAGTTGAAGGGTGACTATGCAGCGTCAGAGCTCAAAAATGTCATGGCATCTCGTTTCTGGCCATGTTTGGCTTGGCAAAGTCATCTCAAGATTGCCTGCATGGGTTCCCCAAAGGTGACGGCTTCATATGCGCAGGTGTCAACATCATCCACACGAAATTAGATTAGCCGTCTGCTACCCTCCCCCCCCCCCCCGTTCGTGGTATACAGCGAAAGGCGTCTTACTGGTACGACTTCAAACCATTTTAGTTCACTGTTCTTTGCCGAATTCGCTATGATTACGATGTGCGTCAGCTCATGCATTAGACAGAACTAATGAAAGGTAAATCGAGTAATAACAACCTGGTCTTGTCAAATAACAGCAAGGCAAACAGTTTTAGGCTGGCAATTGACATAACACATTTCCCCGCTTCAATCTGAGGATCGGAGAACGCAATTAAGACCTAAAACATGTATTACGTTTCTGTGGGTGTGTACCTCTGTGTTTGAGCGCAAACGTGCGATGGTATGTGTCTTTATGCCTGGCCGCGTGTCGTTCGTGGAGCCGAATCAATTGCAGCCGAGGTTGACAGGGCCAGCGCGAAGGCCGCGGAGCTGGCCCCCAGCAGTGACGTCTGTTGGCCGCCGGCTGCTAGGAGACATGGTAAGCGCGCCTGCCGGACACCCGTCCGCCGCGGCGCAGTGTGGCCGCAACTCAGAGCCAACAGAGCCGCAGGTAACGCTCCGCCACCCCTCGGCGAACGCCGCTGCCGACGCCTCGCTGGGCCACTGTGGCACTGGCTGAAGCACTTAACCTAGCCCGCTCGGTGCCGCCCGTCAGCGGTCTTAGGTGTAACACGACCTGGTCCATTCGGGGCCTCCACACCTGTGATCCACCGGCTCTCTTTGTGCGTTTCGCCTGTGGTCGGGCTGTGCTCTGTTGCGGCGGCGTTACGCATATGGCCGGGCTGTGTTCTGCTGCAGCGGTGTAACGCCTGTGGCCGGGCTGTGTTCAGTTGCAGCGGCGTTACGCCTGTGGCTGCGCTGTGCTTTGTTGCAGCGGTGTTACGTCTGTGGCTGCGCTGTGTTTTGTTGCAGCGGTGTCACGTCTGTGCCCACCCTGCTGTCATGACATCGCCACCCGCGCTGTGTGTGACGCTTCCACTCATGCCCAGCGTGACGTCCTGGCCTGCGCTCCACTTGATTTCAGCGGAGCGCGGGAGGGCCGCGGCTACACTGCCGAGCCGGAGCCGGAGCCGGAGCCAGAGCCGGAGCCGGAGCGTACAACACGGCCCACCTGGTCACCGCACGTCATCATGAGGCTCTGGATCTTAGCGACCCTCTGCGGTAGGTTCCGACTCTCTCTTCCGACCTCCGACCGCGGTAGGCTCTGACTCTCCCACCGCGATCCTGCCACGGCCATTAAGTTGTTGCTGTGATTTGACTCGGTCGCTAGCTGTCCGTGCCGGAGTCACCCGAAGCCTGACGTGAAACCTTACGCAACTGGCGCCCGATGCATGAGCAATGCCAGACTGGCTTCATCATATGAAATACAGTCGGTAGTCTGGCATTCAGTCGTAATGATGGCTCTGACAATACGTGATCCGCTTGGGAGCCTGGCTGCTTTTAGCATATGCATGCATATCTCTCGCACAGCTCTGTAGAATCGCGCGCTAGCTACCTCCGCAATTGAATGTGCCCTTAAATTCCAACACAAATTCAGAGCATAAGGAGGCAGTCTCACACTGCTAGCTAGCTATTTAGTGCTTGGGTATATTTATATATGCATATATATATATATATATATATATATATATATATATATATATATATATATATTATTATATTGGGTGCATTGCCAGCTATTTAGACTATTGGGTATGGGCACGGCTCCGTAGTTAGAGGGTGAATTGGTCGAAGGAAATCTTACCCGTGAAGACCTCTACTTTCCACCCAGCCAGGACCACCTCAGAACAGAGACATTTCAAATACGCCCCCTGTGACTATAGAATGAAGGTGACAAGCCAATTGACAGCTTTTTACGAGAGCATAATGGCAAGATAGGCTTGTCAGTTGTCAAGAGCAATCGATATTGATGATAAAGTGATTTTTTATCAGATAGATGGACTCGACTAACCATTAAGTCTATCATAAATTTCATTTTAACTGAAGTAAGCTCCGAATTGATTTGGGGCGGAAATGATCAATGCAGTTGAAGTGTACCTAAAACCTAATATCAGTAGTTAACCTGCGAACAGGGGATTCGAAGAGGGATCAAATGACCCCCGGGGATCAAAGGTCAAGGGCCCGATTGGCAGGCTGAAAGGGCTGAAGGGCAGAAAGGACTGACCATAGGTCACAGTAAGTACGGCCTCCCCGCCCGTAAGGCCGTTGTCTCAAATGTCAGTCAAGGGGGCCTCTTGCATCGATTGGGGAGCCCGTGGGACAGTGCGGGCTTTTATTTCGGTCGCAGACTACAAACACCAGTCGGTTCCGTGTCGGTCTGAGCCCTGGGGTCAATTTCCCAAGCACGAGCAAGGCCGAGCCCGCGAATTGCACTGTTCGTGTCCCTGAAAAGGTGGGTGTGTCGGTCAGGTGTCCACAGCGCCTAACAAGGGGTCCTGTGTTGGTAACTGGTCTCGAGCCGTCAAGAGCCATGTTTATGGGACCGAAAGAGGGGCCTGAAGAGCCCCTCGGGACCAAAGATCAACGGTCCGATTGGGCCTGGGCCGGCCCCCAGTCCGTAGTGCCGTGACCTGAGATGCCAATCAGAGGGTCTTTATTAGAGCTTTCTAAAGGGAGCCTTCTTATCCCCATCATGTAGAGAATCGACGGGAAGTCAAACAGTCGGTCCGAGCCCTGGAGACCCATTTCCCAAGCAGGAGCAAGCCCGGAGCCCATAATTTACCAATTTCGGGGTCCCTGACACAATGAGCGGCTCCTGTGCCGGTCAGGGACACCAGTGCCTAGCAGGGGCCCCGTGTCGACAAGTGGTTCTGAGTTGGACAGGAGCTGTGTTTGTAGGGGCCTGAAGAGGGGCCCAAGGGGTCTCTCGAGACCAAAGATTGTGGGCCCGATGGGCAGACTGAAGGACCATTTAGTCCCTTCAGCCCTTCCTTGTTGGTTCCTGAAGGTCACATGAAGGACACCTACCCGCAGGGATGTGATCTCAAATACCACTTAAAGGGTCTCTTGGGATTGGGCACCCCTGAGACGGTGCATACCGGGATCCCGAATGCCAGAGGATTTTCTGCGCTGGTCGGGAGCATCTGGCAACGAAATGAAACCTGAGAACTTGTGATAAGCGTGCACATGGAGACAATGGAAGGACCCTGTGTCAGTCGGGATCCCAGGGCCGACCGGTGGGCCTTCCAACACAATGCCAGCCATGGGCCCCCGTGTCGCCAGAATAACAGCCAGAAGGCACCCCTACGCTGGGACGGAGTGGCCCTTCAGCCATTGACCGGGAACGATATTATGCCCCTTAGTGTTATGCTGAAAGGGGATCTTACCGGAAAAAGACGGGGTCTCAATAGTGTTGACAAGAGGGAGTCAAAATGAGACAAAAAATGAAAAAGCCTGACCATGCTCGCCCGAAGACGTTCGTTTTTCAGAATCAAACGCTGCAGCAAATTGCATCAGAACGTTTTGAGCCAGCGCGCTCACAGTCTCAGGAACAAAAGCAGCGATCGTCGCGGTTGCCGTTTTTGTAAAACCGAATGGCGTTGGCAACTGCAAGTAGTCAGGCGGTGGGCGCTGTACGCGCGATATCAACCGTCGTGATATAATGTTTCCGAAAGTCTTTCAACATGTGTCCGTACTGTGCACAGATAACAATGGTGCGTTTTTTTACGATATTGAGCTTGTCCTTTGGACGGATTAATAATTGCACGAACACAAAAATAGCGATTTTCTTCAACTGTTCCTGTTCCGCCACCAGACCTTCTCCGTTTCCTAACACGTAATGTTACCCGCGGGACTGACGCCACGCAGCCTACGGAGACTGCAACGCCGGGGTCGAGGGTTTTGTTGCTAAGATTTGTTAGAGTGCATATTCAAAACTATCTCCCATTGTTTTTCTCTCTATTTAACTCTGGCTGAGTGTTAAAGATTTCCAAGAAAACACAGGTTAACCATGTTAAAATTTTTTTAACCATTTCGATCTAAAATCTACGTTCGCAAGTTCCTCAACGTCTTTGTAGAAGATCACAATTCTGGCAAAGCTTCTGAATTCTATCCGTTAAAAAGGAATCCAACGCACCATTTGAAAATGAAGAAGGCTAGTGATTTATTCCATGCAACCTTATCATCGCCCGCCTTCAGTTTATCGACGTAAAAATTCAAACAGAAATGGCCTGGCGGTAGCTTATGGCTTCCGTTCCAGTTGCAGAAAGTAAAGATGATAAAAAAAACAGAGAAACCCGGGTTTCTCTTTAGCAAGTGGACCTCATCCAACGGTTCTTTTTTGGGGCACCTTTCACCATAAGGGGCCCTTTCTCTTGGTCTTCACCCCTGCTCTACTCTGCTTTGCCCCTAGCTGCGACAAGACAAGAACCACTGCACCGTCCGACGGAGCCCCTCAAATTCAAACTCAATCCACGTCAGGTAGCGGCGCCCCAAATTTAGTTATCTGCAATCGTGTGCATTAAGTCAGGGCGCAAAATGGGCTGAGTCACAGGTCACGCTCTCGGCTGGTGGGTCAATCCAAGGTCAATAGCAGAACTTGCCCTCATTTTTATGCAGCTTGCAGCACTTTTAGCTCGTGAAGTCAAGACTGGCGGCTCCACAAAGTATAGGGTATCAACGTAAACTGTTGACTGAAACAGAACGATAATGTTGGTTCTCAACAGCGACTACCTATTGGGATTCATACACCGCCAGCGAGCCTGCTTGGGCGAGTGAAGCGAAGTCGAGCGACCGGCTAGCAGCAGCGGCGACCGGACTTGGGTCGCGCCAGAGGGGCAGACGTCGGTTTGATGGGAGGGGGAGGGGCGGCCCCCGATGGCCCCGGCGCGGGTCAGGCGCGCCTGGCCGGCCGACGGCTGTTACGTGTGATCAATGTAGCGCCGGCAACTGGCCACACAGACGGCCGGGCACCCGGGCGACGGCTCGGGTCGCGGTGTGGACGTAAACGGGCCGGCTGCCGGGCTGCCATGGCCGGTAACGATTGGCCGCCGTTGCCGACAGCGCTGGGGCCCAAGGGGACCGAAGGCGCTGATAGGACGCCCCCTCGGTTTTTGCCGCGTGCAGGATACTGAACCTTAAGTTAAGGGGCTTAAAAAACAATGCGAATCTGAGTCATTATCACGCGTGTTGTGAGGATCGCACGCGTGGTGGGCATATAGACCAAGGCTGCTGCGGTTGCACTTAATACTGGAAGACGTAAGAAGAGTTAGGTTGAATGGATATGGATGCATGTATGTTCAGGCAGCGTGTGAGTTCTTGCACAAGTCGTACTAATGTAAAATTTGGAAGGATGCTCAAGAAGTCATAAAGTCACACCCTGCGGCGTGCACACATTGCACCCCGTTTTGGAGGAAGCGAGGTATCACCATTTCACATTTTCGCCACATCACTGTTTCGCCCTTAAGCAACCACTCGTTGACGCTTTTAAGAAACCGTAAAGTATCCGTACCCTTAAACTGGCAAAGACTACGGAGACTTTTTATTCGACGTCTGTCCATGGTCCAGCCTCGCTCCAAGGCTCGCGACGACGAAGCTGACGTCGATCGTTGCTGTCTCCCCAGCGTCGCTGCTTGCGCAGAGCCACTTTGTGCGGACTCAGGAGACTGGCATGACCGGGGGAGAAGCGACAGCCACCTCTGCCAGCGCCACAGAGACGAGCGGCGCGGCATCCGACGCCACGGCCAACAGCGGCGCGGCAACCACCGCCGCCCAGTCAGGCAGCGCCGCGTCCGATGCCGGTGGAGTCAGCACGACAGCGGCCACCGCGGCCGGGTCGGGAGCGACTGCAACCGGCGCGCCGGGAACCGAAGGATCTGGAACCACCGCGGCTGGGACCGGCACGGCTGGATCCGGGACGGCCGGGTCCGGCACGGCTGGATCCAGTGCACCCGGCGGCGACGCGACAACGACCGGCGCGCCTGGAACCGGCGGATCTGGAGCCGCTTCAACTGGAACTGACCCGTCCGTGACCAGCAGCGACAACACAACCAGCGGTGCGACGGTTGAGACGGGCTCCACGACCGTCGGTGGCATGGATGGTGGGAGCAATGCCACCACCGGGGGCGTTACTTCCAGTGCAAGTAACACCACCACTGGCGGCGGTGATACCAGTGCGAGTAACTCCACCACCGGGGGCGTTACTACCAGTGCAAGTAACTCCACCACTGGCGGCGATAATACCAGTGCAAGTAACTCCACCACCGGCGGCGATAATACCAGTGCAAGTAACACCACCACCGGCGGCGATTCTACCAGCGCAAGTAACTCCACCACCGGCGGGGATTCTACCAGTGCAAGTAACTCCACCACCGGCGGGGACAGCTCCACCACCAGCAGCAGTGGCACCGCCACTGGCGGGAATGGCACCGCCACCACTGGCGGCTCCAGCAGTGGAGGTGGCTCGGCCGGGGGAGCGAACTCCGGCGGTGGAAGCACGATGTCGACCGAGCCGACCACCACCGAGCTACAGCTGACCACTAGGCCTCCCAGTTCAGGTGCGACGACAAGTTCTGGACGCCTTTCATAGGGTTTGGTACCCTGCTCAGATGGTTGCCTTTGTTTTTAGTAAAACACAAGGGTAAACATGCTTGGTGGCTGAATTGTTCGCCCTTGCATAACAGTCCTTATTTTCCTCAGCCCTCATGCAGTAGTGTATCGTATGAAAATGGCAAATGAAACTCTGTTGGAGCATCTGGAGCCGGCGCGTTCCGAATCCGGAAGGCGTTTTCCCATTGAAACGTTCTTTATTCCGGGCCAGAAGATCAATCAGTTCATTTGCTTTACCGCCAGATGGGCTGGTAAAATCCAAGTCTTTTGAAGGAAAACGTCTAAATTGTGCTCAGGATGGAAGGGTGAATTAATGTGTCGCTGCAATCATTTTTTGACGAACACATGAGTGAATAGTTTCATTACTTGTGCATGTGCATAAGTCCCAGCAATCACCAGCAATCAGCAGCCATCTCCAGGGTGCCGCCATATTCCTTTGCGTGAAGTGGTTGCTCTTCGTTGTGAATATGATCCGAGCCCCCATTTTTGATTTGCAGAGTCAAGCATACGGGTGGATATTAGATTTACCGACATGGTTTTCGACAACGACTACAACGACACCAGCACCAGCAAATCACAGGCCAAACGAGGCCAGCTGGGGACTTTGGTAAGTAACTGATGAGTGAGGTCACAGTCTTGGGTGAGCCCATGGCAGGCTAAAGCCCTGCGTTTCGGTATCCAGTAACAGTGCATTTGTGTGTCCAACCACGGGTAGTGAACACCCCAGGTGACACAGAAACTTGGGCACGGTTGCACAATATCCCGGAAAGATGTCCTCAAAAACCTCAGAGGGGGAAGGGCGCCTAGACAGTATTCTCCACCTTATCGACCCTCTGGTCAGGGGGGGGGGGGCGCTGACGCCGCCACTGGGAGTGTTTCTTTTTGCGTTGTTCATGTCGGCCTTGCGCGCAGGGTCCTTCGCGAGATGGAGTAGTTGAAACTTCAAATCGCCTTCAGAACCCATACGCAGTAAAATGCTTCGAACGAGCCCTGGCTCTTAAAGTCTTGAACAATCACTTCACGTCGGCAGTGCTGTCAGTGCAGTGCGCGCCACTCGAAACCATGCTGCACTGCACGTCTTGTCTTGATTTCACAGAGAAAAATAGTGAGGCGGTGTCCGCCGCATTCTTGTTTAACGGTGCACAGAGACACAATTCTGCGCAGGAAATCCTGAGTGATGTGAATGAGCTCAAATTAGTGCAACTAGGCTTTGAACTTTATTCCGAAAACTGATGCCGTGCTACAAGATTGTGGAGACTAATGCCCGTAACCATGACAACGACAACAGTCACAATCGATTTGGAAGGGGTAATAAAGTTAGCACTACTGAAATGTTTGGCATACAGCAGAAACGTTTACTAAATTGCTCCGGCTTACCTTGGTTATATATTTTTTAAGCAAAAGTCAATAAAGATCTTGCAGCACACACTAAGTCCTTGGATTGTACTACCTTAATTTTTCATAGGAGGCCGTATTATTGAGGAAAGCCGCATTAGCCTAGCAATCTAGCCGGTAAAACGCCGTATCCAGTAGGAAACCTAGTCCCCCACGAGTAGGTCACTGATTGCTCGGTTCACATAACCTGTAGACCCAGTAACCGTGGGTATACGCATGGTTACTGGAGCTACGGTATATGCACGTATTCTGACAAAAACTCGGATCCACGTGATGTCTGACGCTCGCCTCCTCCGCAGTTACAGAACCAGCTGACGCCCCAAGTGCCGGATATTGTGAGGGTCCACGTGTGTTGTCTGGAGGCCGGGAGCGTCAAGAGCGGGATGGATGTCGTTTTGGCGGGCACGGACGGCAATCGCCTGCAACGGGTGAGCGTGAATCCATTCGACGAGTGGGTATGGCGGTTAACTGCGATTGCAGGAACCTAGCACGCGACGTCATTCAAGACGAACGTGCAATGTGATCAACGTTTTGGTTTCATTGTGCGGACGAACTCTCAGTTCATGATCAAATGTATTTTCGTAAAAATGCGGTCCTATTTTTCCGGAGTTGTTCTAAACATTTGAATCAGACAGGGACAAACAGAGTGTGCAAGGCGAACACCACAAGATGACATAACACAAGGGACATTGAGCTGCGCGCGGGCATCAAGCGCAGGCGCAGCGCCTAACTGGCGGCGCGAGCGTAACCTGCGGGCGGTAGCTTCTACCTCCGCACCGCCTACATCCAGAGGCCGGCGTTGCCCCAGGCTCCGCGCATGCCGAGCCCGTTGCCCCAGGCTCCGCGCATGGCCAGCCCGTTGCCCCAGGCTCCGCGCATGGCCAGTCCGTTGCCCCAGGCTCCGCGCATGGCCAGTCCGTTGTTCCAGACGGAGAGGTCCGGAGCGGCCGCGGCGCGCAGGGCAGCAGCATTGTACAGCGCGGCGTGCTTGGCCTTGGCGGCCATGACGGCGGGCGTGTCCATGGGGACACCCATGCCCATGCGCATGGGCATGGGTGCAGCCATGCCTCTGGCGCGCAGGGCAGCGGCGTTGTACAGCATGGCGTGGTTGGCCTTGGCGGCCATGACGGACGGCGTGTCCAGGGGCACCCGCATGGGCATGGGCGCGACCATGCCGTTGGCGCGGAGGGCGGCAGCGTTGTACAGCGCGGCGTGCTCGGCCTTGGCGGCCATGACGGCAGGCGTGTCCCTCGGCATGGCCGGCATGACCAGCGCGCGCTTGCGGCGCTCCTTCATCTCCGGCTCGGCGGACGCCCTGGTGGCAGCCTCGGCGAAAAGCTTGGTGAACTCGGCCTTGGCCGCCTTCACCTCCGGGGTGTCGTCGACGGGCGCCGGGCCGACCAGCGTCATGATGGGCGCGGCCAGGTTCGCGGCGGGGGCCACAGGCAGGTTGGTGGCTGACGCGCGGAAGCCGGCCGCGTCCGCCACGTACTTGACGGTCTGCTTGAGCCCGTTGGCGTCGATGTAGGTGTAGGAGCCGCTGGTGCCGCCCAGCGCGTTCTTGGTCTCGGTCTTGGCGCTGAGCGCGCCCTTATAGCCGTAAGTGTAGGCACCGAGCTCGTCCTGCGCGTGGAACTGGTGGCTGGTCACGGCCGGCACGGGCGCAGCGACCGCCGCGTACGGCGCGGCGTACCCAGCCGCCAGGGGCGCGGCGCTCAGAGCGCCACAGTTGCCAAAGCAGCCGCCGTACGGGTTTCCCAGTGAGGCCCACTGGGCAGCCGAAACGGCGAGCAGCGCGGAAGCAACCACCTGCGAACGCCGAGCGGTGGAGCGTCAGGGGGTCCGACGAACGCAGGGGGGGGGGGGGCGTATGTTGGGTGACGGCGGGCTGGTCACAAGTAACTTTAGGCTTTTTCCATTGTGGGATTAGCATGCAGACAATGTGGTGATTTCGCGTAACCGGCTACTGCATGGTCAAATACCGGTATAGGTGAAATCCCTTTAAAAAAGACCCTTTCAATGTCTTCTAGAAGGTAGCAATAAAGAGCTCTTGGCTCGCTACTTGATAAACAATTGGTTTAACCACTTTCATATCGGTAACGGTGGATGTTATGGTAACAACGACGACCGCCAGCGTCAGTCTGAGCAGACCATGACGGCTGCTTGGACAAGCTTGCTCGCATCTATCCCAGCGCGCACCGCCGGCAACCTACCAGGACTTTCATGGCTGAACTCGCTGGCGATGTGACGTTCGGATGCGTGGCCGCCGGTTTTATAGCGGACCCCGTGCCGGTGGCCACGCCCGGTCCCGGCCAACTGACGTGTCCGGGGCGGGGTCGAAGGGGGAGGGCGGGGGCGGCAGCCACGGCCCGCGCCTGCTCCCTGACACCTGTAGCCAACCGGACGGGCTCGAGGTGCCGGGTATGGCTGCCAACGACCGGGCGGTTGAATGCATTCAAAAAAGGTCTCAGCTAATATCGATCTGTCCAACGTAATGACAAATTGGATGTGCTTTACTGAAAATTATGGCTACTTTGGTGAAAGGTAGCAATACCTGTCTGGCGGTACGCGCGGCTCCTTCGTGTCTTGTATGATGGTATACGCGGCTCCGGCCTGCCTCGTCCGGCGGTACGCGCGGCTCCTTCCTGTCTTGTTGGGTGGCACGCACGGATCCGGCCTGTCTTGTGCGTTGGTACGCGCGGCTCCGGCCTGTCTTGTGCTTTGGTACGCGCGGCTCCGGCCTGTCTTGTCTGGTGGCACGCACGGATCCGGCCTGCCTCGTCCGGTGGTACGCGCGGCTCCGGGCTGTCTTGTCCGGTGGTACGCGCGGCTCCCGCCTGTCTTGTGCTTTGGTACACACTGCTCCGGCTTGTCTTGTCCGGTGGTACGCGCGGCTCCGGCCTGCCTCGTCCGGTGGTACGCGCGGCTCCGGGCTGTCTTGTCCGGTGGTACGTGCGGCTCCGGCCAGTCTTGTGCGATGGTACGCGCGGTTCCGGTCTGTCTTGTGCGTTGGTACGTGCGGCTCCGGCCTGTCCTGTCCGGTAGTACGCGCGTCTCCGGCCTGGCTCGTTTGGTGGCGATCAGCGTGGTGACAGTCCTCGGTTGTTGTTCACAGGTCCAAGAGGCGGTGACCAACGTAACCAGCAGCGGCACACTGGGCGGCGAGGCTATCTCCAATGCCGACACGGTCGTCTCGTGTGAGTCGGTGCCGGCCGTCTGTCGGTATAACACGGCCGATACCGCAACGCTCGGCGCGCTGCCAGTCACCAGCTGTCCACCGACCCACAGCTCAGTCACGCACCGCCCATTCATCTACAACAGAGTCGTGTCGTCATCGCCATTAACAGTCCATCAACCCACAGCTCAGTCACACACTGCCCATTCATCTACAACAGAGTCATTTCGCCATCGCCATCAACAGTCCATCCGTTGGCTTCGGCATCTACAGCTTCCATTCACGCAGGAGCAAAACGGCCATCGAAGAGTGCCTTGTAATGTCTGGACCTAGTGTACAGCTCGCAAATAGCCTTCGTTATGAACACAGGTCGATTCGTTATTGGATTGAAAGGTGTATCAACGTGCCTTAAATACAATACGTTTGCGAAGGGAACTTTTTCAACAATCGCAACGTAAATTTTTGTCAAACGGACGCAATAGACCCAGGGTTAAAAGAAACATAAAATGGGAAAGTGGTAAGAGTTTTGGCGATCATGGTCGCACGGAAGTTAATTAAATCAACTATCCTGCACGGGGAGCCTATTACCCGCCTGAATATGCGTAAAAACTGGTCTACCCTGTTGGTCAGCCCCGTCTTGTGATTAGCCGTTACCTTGGCGCCAAGAGGGCAGGGCGGTCTGTCATCTCTGAATATGACGGGTTTTTGTGCAGAGGTTGCCGAGATCAAACGTGTCATGTGAAGGTCGGCCGTACATTGCACAAGAACCCACCGCCGCCGGCTGGCCGTGTCGTTACACGACGGGTACCATCTTGTTATTTGTTACAGTTGTTACTTGTTTGTCTCGTTACTTGTTATGACTGGTGACCTCCGCGGCAGCGCGCCCAACCGTCGTCCTCTCCAGGCTGGGGGCGGTGCCTGATGGGACGGTGTGCAGTCGTGCTAACGCAGTCCCGTTGCTGTATCTTCTCCTGCCAGTGATCGAGTGCTCCAACGAGCCGCCGCCGCCGATGGAGAACGGCCAGCGCAGCTGGAGTGGCTCCAAGGCGCTGGACAGCAAGGCCACCTACTACTGCATGCCCGGATACACGTCAGTTCTTGGCGCTAGGCAACGGGGACTGTAGAGGGACGCATGGACCAAGCGTTGGAATAAAATCCCCTCCGCAGGAAGCAGGCACTGGCCTCACCGCAATGTGGGATCGCAGCCGGGTCGCGCGGGGTCGGACTGCCGTCGCGGTAGTGCGTTATGTCCTCTCCGCTCGTAGGTCTTCAGTTCATTCACTTGAATGCGGTTTGGCATCAGTTTTTGCCTGCCTAATCTATCTGAACTAGGGGCTTACCGTCAACGACAGATGAGCTGGACATAAGGTTGTGTCGCATACTGTTTTGGGCCAACAGCTGTGGCACGCTGGCTCTGACATCAGCCTGGGTCAGACACTGACTTTGGCCTTGGCCCGGTTTCCAGCCTGAAATCCAGCAGTGGAACAGAGCTGAACGAGCTCGACATCACCTGCGCCATGGCCAGTCCTACGGTGTACGTCTTCGGCAACCTGGGCTCCGGCAACGTTTGCGAGATGGACCCCACCACCACCACCACCACGACCACCACCACTACCACCACCACCACGGTCGCCACGACGACAACAAAGCCTATGCCCAAAACAACGCCCTACGTGCATAATAAGCACAGCACCTACACGAACGGACTGTTCCTGGAGGTCACCATTCCGGCGGCGGCAGGTGCGTGATGCCTCGAGTTATGGTGAGTGACGTCATGCAGTGACGTCAGAGCCCGCGTAACGTCTGCTTGGGCTCACAACCCGGGGATTCCGTGACGGCCGCTGGTTCGAGATGTATGACGCTCGTGGTACAGTTACTGGTGGGAAGATGAAGTGGTGAAAATGTTCACAATTTTCATTATAGCGTTGTTCCTTGCCATGTCCGTCACTCTGAACATGTTACGTTCACTGCACCCTGTTCATTACCGAGCGTTGCCTTGTCATCACAGCATTGATTTTCCTATAGTGCCATGGTAATCTTGGAGTAAAAGCATGCTTGAGAGAACCGTACGTTGTACGTGTATGCACGGCGAAAGGTGGCACTATTCCTGTCAGGTGCTGTACGACTGTAATTCCTGTTTCAGGCATTCTGCTGGTGCTGATCCTGCTTCTGCTCTGTGTCAGAATCGACAGCATACTCTACAAAATTTGCGCAGATAACACGAAGGCCTAAGACGCCGAACGGTGTCCAGCTGCAGAAATTCCTCCAACCAAGAGTTTTGAAAAACTTCAAACACTACCGGGCCCGAAATTGCGGTTGCTGCCCGAGAAGACATTTGCTGACCTACGTTCTCCAATAGCGGATTTGAAACTCTTTGTGACACAGTCGAGTTCGTTACTCCGCACGCATAAGGAATTTTTTATTCAGTTACAGCTCATGCGCGGTCAAATTTTCGTCTCATGTCATCACGTGCCATGTCATGCGGTGGCAAGGCATGCGGTTTTTTCAAAGTGTGAAGCAGGTGGTAACGGAAGGAGAGATGATGTGCAGTAGCAACGGGTCTCCAAAGGTTCGTGCATCAAAAGTGCATGAAGAAAAAGTTCCAAGTACTAACTCCCCACGTTAGGCCGGGTCGTGTTGTGATCTAGGATCGTTAGTGTAGCAGTCACCAAAGTGCCTTATTACCCGGTTAAAGTCGCGGTGGTTCTCGTCCACCGATGACCCTGACCTGTTGGCTGGTGTCAAGTCGCGTTCTGTGGTGTGCTCCCATGACTGGCCCCCTGAAAATCAGCGTGGTCTGCGTTTGTCCCCCCGTCTGTCTGTGGATGCGGCGGCGCTGTTGCCGCCGGTCGCCTGAGCGCGACATTGTGGCTCTGTGTCGCATCGTTCCCATTGAATAGCGTTGCATTGAATCGTGTTTCCGCTACCGTAGTGTGAGTGACTGTGCCTTGGACGTGGGGATAGTCCGGTGTGGAAACGCCTCAAAATGCCATGGTCGGACATTCCCTACGTCCAATCCCAGCGCTATCGCTAATATACGCAATCATCCGTTTGGAGTGTTAACCTCGGCAGACACTGTGAGGGCAAATGCTTGTTTGTACGGCACGGTTTCCATTCTCGTCCAGCCACATCTATCATCACCCAGCCCCACCAAGTCTCCTTTACTTCCACTCACTTCTCTCATTAGGCAAGTATCTGCCCGTTACCGTAAGCACATTATGTTCCTATCATTGACACTACGGAGGCAGGCAGGCCGAAATACGGCAACTATTCGTACAAAGCCTCGATCAGGGGGCCGGTACTTCGTCGCAGGCTGATGTCACCCTTCGTTTCACCTAGTCCTGTCCAGCCCTGTCTTCCCCCCGTCTTGTCTGAAGACACAGATGGCACTGTGATCAGTACAAACCTGTGACCTACTCAATCACGCTGTCTCCTCGGTCAACCTCAATCTCATGCAGCGTTGCCTAGCCTCGTCCTGACAAATTCACCGCCGTCCAGTGTGGTTGTGAGCATGGCGTCCGCTTTTGAGACTCCACAGTACACACAAAACGGAGTTCCTGCCGAGCTAAAGTCAGCTGCTTCTTCTGATGACGTCAACACGGCTCATCCACCTGCTGTTGATCGATTATCAAGTGATATAATGGATCAAACGAAGCAGATGTTGGCGACAACGTCACGGCGCTACTAAAAAATGCATTTTCCGCCAGGTTCCTTTGGCTTCATTTCTGACAATCGGCCGTAATTGGCCATTATATACTGGTTGGGGCTCTGCGTTAGCAGGCCACTTAGGACAGATGTGGTCTACTCACCGATTACATCCTTAGAAGTAATGTGTAACAGCCAGTTTGCTTTTAAATACGGTGGTACACATTGGCCAACTGCAGCATAACACGAAATAAGCAAATTACGTAGTTAAAATTTCGTTTTACAACACAGCAACAGTTGAAGGGCGCAGTTATACTTCAATCTTGCTTTTATGAACTTCTGACCCTGACTGACCTCCATTTTGTCCAATTCTATTTTGAGCGTGGGTGTAATACAGCCTGCAGCCGGAGCGCCCTCAAACAACAATGCTCATCTTCTACCGGGGGCAGCCTCACTCGAGTCGGCCGGCGTTCTAGCGCCGCTGCCTTTTTTGTCACACGTGCTCCAACTGCAGCCCGCTTTCAGCCATAAACCAGGCATGTGCGCGTAACACGAGGCCGATATCCCGCAGCCAGCGCCTATTGGCTGATGCAAGGTAAAGCGGGTGTTTCTTCCTCTCGCTAAACACATGATGTGCCTGGCCTTAAGCGCGCGCAGCCGCGCGTCCAGAGGACGTTGTGATGGCGTCTATTTGCAAAGAAGCATGCTTGATAGCAGTTAAAAGTAATAACAAGCAACCATACCGACGATCAAGCATTGTTTGAGTTTTGCGTGTAACAATTTCCGCTCAGTTGTGAATTGAGCAGATACCGTTGCAGAGCGGAGGGGCGAAGGATCGAGATGCCCGTTCATGGTAGTGACGTCGAAGCATCCCTGGCACCAGGATTGCATTGCATTTGAACGCGAAGGCAACAAGAGATTTAGGAATAATGATAACCTGCTTAAAAGTCTGACATTTAGTTTGACATCCAAATCAAAGCCTTGCAAGACTAATTGTTTTGTTTGGGAAGTCAATGCATGTACAAATGAAAGAAGAAATTCGGCTTTCGGTGCTAACCTCAGTCAGTCTATGGTTCTGTCAAGATCGGTTCTCTGCTGAGCGTTCTACTCGTGAGCGTTCTTGGTAAGCGGCGCCGCCATCCTCAAACCTAACAGCTTGATGCCAGCTGCCCATGGCGTCAAAACGTGTGTACGATTGTATTTGGCTTAGTTTGGGACAATATCCTTGTCAAAAGGTTTGACTAGAGAACATTCGTGGTCCACTTACCTGAATATTGCGAGCGGGTGAGGAGTAGGGCATCATTTGATGAGGCACGCAACAACCACTCTTTTTGACTCTTCATCTGCCTCTGCACGTGCACCGCGCCACGCCTGCGCGTGAAGGGGCGCGGCAGTGGCGCGCAATGTGGAACAGCGCGGGAAATATGATGGATTGGGAAACCTGGTATGCCCTACTTTATAAGTGCAAAAGACTGCTCTAGACAGCACAGTTATCCGTTAAGTAAAAATGCCCCTTAATGCGTCATGGTCTGATTACATCATACATTGCATGATATTGATTGAGAACCAATGGGCGGTCGTTATATCCGGAAATCGCGCTCACGAACGCCAGCTATGAAAGCCTCGACAATTATATGGTCTTGGCTTTGATCGCCGCAAGGCCACTGGAGTGGTGGGATTTGAATAACGTTGATATGACGTCATGAATGCTAAGGTGATTTTGAAATACTCTCTTCAAAATACCTTTCTCCATTTTCGCGGGCGTGCGGCTCAGAAACTGGGGGGTGGGGCTTGGGTTTTAAGATGAGCAGGATTGTGAACAGCAAGAAAAGGTGTTCAAGATGGTCATTTCAGTTCAAAACCCGCATAAATATCTGGAACATTATCTTTAACCCTTGCTGTTAACGGGGATCGATGCGAGCCGCTACGGTTTGTTTTAGGATAACTCTCCGGCATGTTGTGCAATCGCGTCAAAATCGTCATTGGCATATGGAGAGTCCATTGCTTGTGTTTTGAATTTCAGGACGTGATCCTAGCCTGTCTAGTTTCGGCGCAAGGGCGTCATTTGAGGAACACTGCATAGTAATCTACGACCGGTGCGTGTGGCGGGCAGCAACCGGCGATGCCGCCGAACGTGGCGACGACTTTGTTACATTAACGGAGCTATATACCATAAATGCATACTCAAAACACATAACAAAATATACTATTTTATTCAGAATTTACAAAGAAACTCACAGCTGTTGATGTTTTATGTCACCACGAGGCAGAATTTCTTACATATGATGTCAAGCTGAAACAACTCAGGTCATGTCAAGCAAATATTGACCTAACAACAAACAATTTGTACTACACGAAGTATCTTGCAGAAACCAATCCACTAGCGTTTTCCGCTGAGGTCCATCGTTGTTAGTTTGGAAACGCCAGGGATCGCATCGATCCGCCTGTCAGTCTGCGTTATTAAACGGCGAGTCAAGGCGAGTATTAATTAATTATAGATCTCTCAGGTGTATGGCGCATTTGCACCAAGTTACAAAACTGGCGATCTAGGTTGGATACCTTAGCGTGAATCGGCTGGTGGCCTGTATTGACGATGCGGCTTATTGCTGAACAAGCAGCACTTCAATGTCCTCTGTCTGGGTGAATATCTCCTCCATGGGAAAGTTGAAGTTCGGTACCTGATATTTTTGCTTGCCTGATGGAAATGGTGCCACACCAATAACGGATGCATTTGTATCAAATCTGCCAAGCCTGTGTGTGGAAGCAGACATCATGGAAACACTCGCTGCAGATTTCTGCTCAAAAGCATCAAGATGTCTTTCAATGGCAAGAACAAATAATCATTGGGCACTTACAGGCCACCAGTGGGTCCATGGCAAATGTGCTGTACCACCTTCACTGACCAGTGTCAATTGACCCTGCCCGCTCGTCAGGGACAGACTTGTGCACACGCGGAGGGACATAAATTTGAACTCACGTCGTCGCTCTGCTCCATGAGCGCTCCGAAGAGTACAGAGGTAGCACCACGTGCCCATCAGCCCGGTGAACATTGGACTTTAACGAACCCGCCAGAAGATTGATCTACTATCTTTGATCACTATATTGATCGCTACTCGGATTGATCGCATGCCAACCTCCAGACCAGACCTCGCCAGCGAGCCGTGAGTGATGACGTGTGACGTGAGCGAACGCGATGTCATTGGGCTGTGAATGCCTCAAGAGCACGTGCTCGCTGCGGCCCTCAAGGACTTTCCATCCGGTCTGCATTGGACGCCCTCTGTCCGGAACTGTTGCAGTGACCGACTGGTCGCCGGCATACGCAGCTGCGACTGCAAGAGGTGCTCCGAGGTGACTGAAGGGCGGCTCGGAGAACTGGACAGAGCCGTTCGATCACCATGCCTGGCAAGAGGGTCGAGCTGATACATTCGTCCTGCATTGGCTTCATGAGAACCATAAACCGCGGAAACGCGTGCACGAAGGGATTCAGCGCGGGCCGTCAGCTGGCAAATTTTCATGCAAATGAAATTGGCCCATCAGGGTGGATCAAATTATGTCAGCAGCGTATTACATCGAACAATTCCAGAATAGTCCGCTCAGTCGCACCGAACACCAGATCATCGGTATCGCGTGGTTTTCGGTGCTGCCCTCTCGCGGCCAAGAAGTCACGACAAAAACGTTGACGTTGCCGGGCTTAGTGATGCAACATGACCCGGGTAGCTGAACCAGTTCTTTGTTGCTGGCTGATTCAACGTGGCGGCAGCACTGTCGGCGCTGTCGTCAGCCGACCAACGTGAAACTTTGTCTCCACGGTGACTTTAAGTGTGCAGACGAATGTGGCTGCACAGTTGGGATGATCAGAAACTCGGGCGTGAGAGCGCCATGTCCGTCATGTCAAAGCGTCATGTCCTCATGCGTCAGCCACATGGTACACGACCGAATCAAATGCACGCTGTATTTAGAGTAAGTCGTCAGTACGGTGCCGGCATGTTCGAGCATCTGCCGGTACTTCTGGTCTCAGGGACGGGGGTTCAGCAGGTACGCTCGTCGTGTTTGGGCAAAACGGTGCAGTACCATGCACCACAGGTGCCACGCAGCGCGACCAATGCGTTTGTCTTCGAGTCACAATTCGGCGTCCCATGTCAACACGAAGATTGTGGCAAACGGCGAGGTGTGTTAGCCCTCCACTAGCGAAGTTTTGAAGAAGAAAGTTGCCTCCCATGATTGAGTGCACTGCTTGTGATGTGCCCGAAACACATACCAGTGTTCTTGACAAATGCATCAGCCCTTTTTAGTTTAGTCCAATCGGCTTTCATAGCTCAAACGACTGTTTGATCCTACTTCTTCTCGCATTTCGTCAGAAAACTTTCCCTGTAACCGCCCTGGGAACATTCACGCGGCGTCGAAT